GAGCATTGATTTTTAGCTAGTGGCAACATTGTCACAAAATTACAATCATCTCTTGAGGATGATACTCTGAATGCCCTATGTTTTTTTCTCCTTTGTAAAAAACGCATTTTTTACAAAGGAGAAAATGCGTTTTTTGAATGAAAAATGAGAAAAGTTTGATATAAAACAAAAAGTTTATTGAGTTAAGTTTTTACTACTAACTTGAGATTTTATTCATACTATGATAAATTTAAAAAAATATATAAAAATATGTAAAAAGACAAACAATAATATAAATGTATATAAAAAAAATTCCCACAATACAGCCAGTCTTGATAGAACACAAATTAGCAACCAAAGTGTAGCCTATGCTTTGGCTTCTTTCTAAGTTGCTGTTGGTCAAACTCCAGAGAGCATTGAATTTTTGGTTAGTTTGATTTAGCAGATTAAAGCGAAGGGATGAAGTAGTGGCAAAAAGTTGAAAAAAAGGCTGTGTTATGTATGCAGAAGGAGGATCAAGTGATGATTCCTTGAATTATTATTAATCTATAAAGGACATATTCTGCCTCAAGCACCCTTCTGTTTGCACCTGGAGCAATGCATAGACAAGATGGATAGATAAGGCAATCTATTCATCGAAGCTATTCCTCTTACAGACCCAATTTCAATTAATTGATTGTAACGCAAATAAATTGCTTTTTTTTTAATATTTACCTGTTTTGTATGTATCTTGAATTACAGCATTACACACCATCCACTACCTATAATTTAAAGTGCTTTGAAAGGCTTTACTTGTATAAATCAATCAATTCAACAGTTGTTAATGTGGCAATAAAAAAATTTAGCCATTGGTACTTGAGCAAAGAGCTAATTGCATTTAATTTTTTTATACAACTGAATTTTTTTATGTGCGGCTACCAAGGCTGAACTGGTTCAGGCAATGTTAGAGATGTTGGTGTTTAAAATCATGCTAAATAACCACAGATCAAGTAAAATAATATTGCATTGCTACACTTTGTGAACTTTGTTACCCAAAACACCATGAAGTTCTATGATATCTTTGCTGTTGCAATAGACTGGCTAAAAATTCTAATATGTGGAAGAAAGATAGTGTCTTTTTTGAGTGTGATAAAAAAAAGAGGATTAGCCCTAATCAAATCCTCGCTAGAGATGAATGGCAAAAATAGGTACTGCTAAAAGAAGGCTCTGAACACCAAATAAATTTTCAGATTCCTAAAACTCTAGTGTTGTCAAACTTTGAATAATTTTCTGGCAAATGAACATAACAATTTGTCATTATTTTGTTAACCTTGTTAATAATTTGTTGTACAATTAACTACATCATTTTTTGATTTTTTATTACATTAAAAAAAAAAACATTAAAAAATAAAAAAAAACTATTAGGAATTTTATAAAATATTTACAAAAGAAAAGAAGTTTAGAAAATATATTTCAGTTTAAAAACTCTAAACAATCGCATTTTTTTTCTTGTTGCTAAAAAATTCTAATCCTACAAATGTTTTTTCTTCTTTTTACAAAAGTTTTAATCTGTAGAACTTGGTTTTTAAAAACAAGATAAAAATTATAACTAAGTTACATTCTTTTAGACAGTTGAAAAAGAAAAGATTGCAGCTATACAACGTTCTAGTTCAACATATTCTTTTCATGGAAAGAATTGCGTTGAGTTTCTTTCTGGACCATCTCCTGTCAAGGATGTTGATGGAGTGCTTTTTTATACCATAGATAATTCACCTCCAAAAAAAAAGAAGAAAAAGACCAAAGTTGTTATTCTTCCTCCTGAACTGTCTTCGAATCCTACTTTTTATAATAAAGTTCATGTCTTATTTTATAAAATTGTTTCGCACTCATTGTTTGAAGGTTTTATTACAGCTTGCATTATGTTAAATACTCTACTTATGGCCCTTGAACACCACAATATGAGTGCAAAATTAACTAAAATCACAGAGATCTTTAACTATGTAAGTTTTTCAGTTTTTGGTTGTTTTTTTGTTGTTGTTGTTGTTGTTGCTGTTGTTGATTTGAGTTATTAAAATATTTCTAAAGAATAAAAAATTAAAAAAGTGTATATATATTTTTTATTATTATTGACCCCTAAGAAATGAATATCTATTATACAGCACAAGTATTTTTTTTTTTTGTTCATTTTTCTTTTTGACCTTTAGTTTTGGAGTTAAACATAACCATTAAACAAATATTAGGATAGGAGCATATTTAAATTAAATAATAAAGATAAAATGTTTGCCTTTCATTTATGTTTCAAATTAAAAAAAACAATTCTATTAAAATTTAGATAAAACTGCTTATAAAATTTACTACTTTAGGTTTTCACTGGTATTTTCATTTTTGAAATGATGATCAAACTAGTTGGTTATACTCCAAGAGGTTATGTGCAAAATAAATGGAATCTCTTTGATGGTGTGTTGGTTATACTGAGCGTGATTGACATATTATTACTGATATTTACTACTCTTCCAAAAGGAACGCTTAAAATGTTAAAAGTCTTCCGATTGGTTAGTTAATATAATTAGTGTAATTTGTTTTGCTTGGGTTTTCTACTTTATGAAAATTCATTTTCCTATAAATATTACAGAGATAAGTTAAAAATATTAAGGAGATAAGTTTATTATTTTAGATGCGAATTCTTAAGTTAGCTCAGTCCTGGAAAACTATGGGCCAACTCATTAGCACAATTGCTAGCAGCATGGGGGCATTAGTTAATGTGACTGTTATACTTGGTCTTATTATATATATTTTTTCTGTAGTCGGTATGCAACTTTTTAAAAGATATTACGATTTTGAAAGTTATCAAGATAAAGAAGATTTTCCAAGGTACAACTTTTCAAATTTTGGCAGTTCATTTATAATGATTTTTCGTATTTTATGTGGGAAATGGATTGAACCACAATGGGCATTATTGGAAAAAACTTACTTATCAATTTTTTTTGTTTTTGCCGTATTTGTTATTGGAAGATGGGTAGTAAGTTTTTCTCTTTTTTCATTATTCAAAGGTTGTTTTTTTTTAATCAGTTTATAGTTTATGTTATTTTAAATTGAATTTGAAATACCAGATAATAATTTCCAATAGGTTTTAAATTTATTTTTGGCTCTATTACTGAGCTCATTTGGTGGTGATGCGCTGAGCGGAAATGACTCATCTGATGAATGTAAAAAAAAGAAAAGATCACGATTAAAAATGTTGATTGAATGGGTCAAACAAAGTCGATCGAAACCTAAAATGTTTAAAGATTACAAACCTGAAGTTCATCAAGTAAACTATAATAATTTTTACTTGTTTCAATTAAAGGTTTTATCATAAATTCATATATTATTTTATATTCGGATATTATTTTATCATATATTATATATTATTTATAATTTACTTGTTGAACCTGAAGTTCCACAAGTAAATTTTAGTAATTTATATATGTATATATATATATATATATATATATATATATATAAAATATATATATATATATATATATATATATATATATATATATATATATATATATATATATGTATACATATATATATATATACATATATATATATATATATATATATATATATATATATATATATATATTATATATATATATATATATATATATATATATATATATATATATATATATATATATATATATATATATATATGTATATATATATATATATATATATATATATATATATATATATATATATATATATATATATATATATATTTCAATAAAAGGTTGTTTTTATTTGTTGTTGTTTTTTTTAATCAAAAGTCTATATATAGTGTTTCTGAGACTCCATAGAAGCAATAAATATTATCTTATTTGTTACAAAAGTTATTTGAATAAAATTAAAAATAAGTAAAAATACTTTAGGATTCAAAAGTGTGTGGTGAAGTTCAGTTGTTGAAAGAAGACTGTAAGTTTTTATTATTTAGAGTCATTAATGCACTGGTACACTCATCATTGTCATTGTTATCACCGTCATCATTATCATCATCATTATCATCATCATTAGTAATGACATTGTAATTTTAAATGATTTAAATGATTTTATTTAGCTAATGATGTAATACATGAAAATTTAAATCACCATGATGAATCAAGTATGCTGTTAGTGCATAATGGCAGCTCAAATTTTTTATCAAAAGGAAAATTAGAAACAGAAACTGAAAGTGAAAGACTTGACACAAAAAAAAATTTCCTACCTGATAACTATAAGAGAGAATTTTCGTCATCATCTATTAAAATTGAGATACAACGAGAAAAAACTTATGTTGATGACTGTTTTTGTGATGCATGCTATAATGCCAGTTGTTGCGTTACAAGCTATTTAAATTCACCAATAAGACAACTTTGGCATAACGCTCGTTTTAAATGTCAAGTGTTGATTGAGCACAAATATTTTGAAGCAGTTGTTTTATTTCTTATTTGCGTTAGCAGTATTACGCTGGTATATATATTTTCAAATATTTCTTTTTTTCAAAGTAATTCATAATCTACTTCAGTGATTCCAAACTAGAAGTGGACCTCCCAAGGGAGGCATGAAATTTTTTTAATTTGTGAAATATCTTTATGGGGCCACAATATTTTTTGTCAATTTATGTACAAATTCTGCAATTTAGCTACAAAAACAAAATTTAGATAAATATTGAAGTGTTAAAAGTCTTATATAATAAATATTGAAGCCTTAACCATTCAATAATCAATTTTTTACAAATTTTTATGCTTTAAATTTTTTGTTTGTTTGTTTAAAAGTTTTATGTTTTTAAAATAAATTTTAAATTTGTAGGTTTTTGAAGATGTTTATCTACCCAGTCGACCAACTTTAAAAACATTTCTACAGTATTGCAACTATTTTTTTGCTTTTATTTTCACATTAGAGTTTTTGATCAAACTTTTTGCATTGGGTTTTATAAAATACTTCACAAACTTTTGGAATTTATTGGACATATTTATTGTTACCGTAAGTTTCATTTAACTTTATCAAGGTACTTAGGGGGTGTTTTTAAAATGCTGTGGAGTTGCTACAATATAGTAAGTTATAGAGGGTTTTTTATGGTGCAGAAAGTTTTTTTTTTTAATATAGCTGATTGTTACTCGGATGCATAGTTTTTTATTATTATTATATTGTTTATATACTATTTACAAGAATGGACTAGAATATTTTATTTACAAGAATGCAGAGCAATTAGTAACCTACATTTTTTTGAACAATAAGATATTATGTTAGAATTGTCCATTTTCTGTTAGATTTGTTAATATAGATTAATCACACTAAACTACAGACAAAAACATGAAACATTAAAACTTTCATGTTTTAGTTTAACGAGATTATTTTGGCAAAAGATTACAAAGATTCAACAGTTTTGAAGTTGGTGAATGAAACTATAAGATTTTAAAGTTATCAAAAGTTAGTTCAAATTATTCAGAATTTAATACAAGACATTTTGTCAACTACTATGCATTTTATATAGACAGAGTCTACATAAAACGTAGACAAAATATAGACAAGAAAGGTGTTGGGTATATTCATAAATATTTAGTAATTTTATTAAGTAAATTACTTTTTTTTTTTTTTATGTTAAACAGTTCTTATCTTTTACCATTGTGAAACTAAACAATTTTTTTTTAAATTGGTTAATTTTTGATCCTAGTTCCCAGACTATGATTACTCTATTTTATAGTAATCTGTTAAAAATAAATACAATTAGCTAACTAGTTTAATTTGTTCAAAATGGTATTTTATGTTAGCTTCACTCATTAAAAGCACTATAAATTGCACAAGTGATTTTATTGACATATTAGACAATATGATTTAAATTTGTGACATAAATGTGTGCAGTAGGCAATATATATTTAAACTGAGTGTATACTTTTATGAATATAAGTTGAACAAATGATATTTAAACCAGTTATCAAAAGTATTACCAAAAATTTTCAAGTCATTTGACAAGTTTAAAACTGCTGAATCTTCTGTTCAAAAAAAAAGTTAGGCCTAATGTTGGGGATGATTGAGGAGCCTGGTATTTAAGATGTGATTGCATCTTAATTATCAAATATATCATTATATATTGCTAATATTTAAATCATATTTTATAGCTATGAAATTTATATATTTTATATATATATATATATATATACATATATGTATATCTATACATATGTGTATAGATATACATATATGTATATGTATATGTATACATATATGTATATATGTATATATATATATATATATATATATATATATATATATATATATATACATATATATATATATATATATATATATATATATATATATATATATATATATATATTATATATATATATATATATATATATATATATATATATATTGAGTGCTATTGGATCACTTTTGACTCCACCCTCACCCCTCCTCAAGCCAATAATTTAGAAAGAAATGACAGAAAACTGGTCATTGCGGGAGAAGTAATTTTTTTTTTTACTTTATATACATTTTAGTTTAAAAATATATATAAAGACCTATATTTTAGTTTAAAAATATATAATTTTTTTGCTACCTGTTTGGTGATATTGAAAATCACGAACATTGGTATTTTTTGTTCTTTATTTTTTTCTGTATCACACCAAGGGCATCATTAAATTTACTTTTTGAAACTGCACTGGCTTTTTGTATTGGTGATCTGTATACAGATCGAACTTTGTCTACTGTGAGCAATTGGTTGTGTTTTTCAGTTTCATTTGAATTTCTATGAATATAATAATCCCACCATACCAATATACTGTTATAAATGGTCTTTTACAAAAAAAAAATTTGAAGCATGACTGAGTATGCTATTAGTTTGTTTGAAGTGATAACCAGTTTTTAACTTGTTGCTTTTTAAGCCTAATCGTTATTAACCATTAAAATTTCCTTGATATCAACTTTTACTTTTTTTTTAAGCTTATAATAGTCAGAGCTATGCATATCAAATGACAGAATTGCTGATGCAATTTTTGCTCTCCTCTCATATTAACTCATCATCTAGTAAAACTAGAGGTATCATGGTTGAATCCAAATACCAACAATGTTTATACTGAGACTCTAATACAACTATTGGGTTTGTACATACACTCTTGTACAGATGCATATGATGTATGGCCGTAAGAAAATTAATTGTAACAGTTGAACTGGATTATAATTAAAATTAGGTTCTTCAAAAATATTTTTTAACTTTTTGAAAAGAGGATTATCAGGTCCATTAGTTTCATCATTGGTCACTAATTTCCAAAAGTGAAGCTTTCTTAATTCAGTCACATAATGTCTACAGGCTATTTAGAGAAGATACTTACCCAGTTATTTAGATATTCTGGAAACTGATCCTCTATTTGTCCCAGTATTGAATGATGTTGTATCAAAGCATATTCCTCTAGTTTTTGATGTAAGTTAATACTCCTTAATTAAATTCAATACACCTAAAAATTGATCTTCACTAGTGGATGATGCTAGTGGAGGTACTCCAAATAGGTAATT